CTGGATGCAGTACTCCGGGTGGGGTCGCACCAGAGCAGAGTAGAGGGGGAGAATCACCTCCCTCGACCTGCTAGCCACACTATGAACATTGACTTATTTTTAACCAAAATCTATTTGTTTAAAATTCCCTAATAATCACAGATATGAGTTTATTTCTGTTCTTGGGCTGTATCTAGAGCTCAATCTGCTACTGCTTTGGCAGGTGACAGGCGTACCAGCTGAAAGTCATTTTGTATTCAGTGGTGGTTTCCCTCTTTGAACCACTGAAGATTTCATCTGTGTCCTCCAGCAGTATTAGTGAAGTTCGGACTGCTGGTCTAGCATAAAAAAAAAAAAAAAAAAAAAAAAAAAAATAGGAGAGGGGGGAAAAAGGGCAAAATATTAAAAATAAAAAAAAAAAAGAAAAAGTGAAACTTTTTTATGCAGCATTAAATAGCAGAAAGATAAAACAGCTGCTTCCTTTACCCCCAATCATACTAACATATGTGTTGAAAACCTAAAAGACATGCAGTCTACCTCTTTGTAATCTGTGTTCCATAATATTATTTGCTTGTTTTACGAGTATTTTAAAATAGATCGCTGAGATTGTTCATGTACTGCATTTAATTAAGAGTAGAAGACCATACATGTATTAAAGAAGAAGCAGGTCAAAATATGTAAATTAAAATTTGGGACTTTCCATTGTATCTTAAAATTAAATTGGCAGAGACTAGGAAGACCTCCATGGGTGGGCATGGTTGGTAATTATGGCCTCAAGGCCACTGCTCAACTGCTTAAGGGGGGAATTTTCTTTATACAATAAATGCAATCTGAATGTCAGTCATGTCAGGCTTGATTTCTTCAGTCAGTTGACTCAATTATAAGACAGAACACTATGCTCTCTAGTCCAGTTGCAGAATACTGTGGAAATCAATTATTTCTTAATAAGATCATGAAAAAAAAAAATCAGTTTTAAGAACATACCACCGTATGTTTTTATAAGATTTCACAAGCGTAGATTATATGTGGAGAAGAGCTAAAGTTTAATAGAGGTTTTGCAAAAATGAAATATTCTTACATGTCGTATGCTATAGGTATATAGGAATGTGTTCTACAATGCTATATCAAAAGAAAATAAAGATTTACTGTATATCTTTTAATTACCTCTGTGTTGCAGTTCTTCTGCAGGTTATTGAAAACACCTGTTTATTTTGGGGGTGCATGTGTGTCGTAAGTAACTTTGTAAGGAAAACAGTATGTTTTATCGTAGGGATTTTATAGCTTCTATGGAAATGTCATTTCCACAGTGTGATGAACATACTCTGTGTTGTATTTTTTTCATAAGAAATAACCATCTCACTCTGGTTTCATCCTACTGCTAAAGACCTTTTAATTTGCTTCTGAGAACTGAGAGGATTTTATCTTGTGGATGAATTCCACAACAGAAATTCTCAGAATTCCAAGTATTCACATTTATAAGTGTCCGTATTCTACCACAGCATAACATGGGATTAAAACACTTGCAAACTGAGTCCCAAATGTTTGCCAAAGTTCATTTAGACTCTAAGAAGAGTAATTGATGTTAAATGACCTTATTTATGTGATGCTTCATACTTTCCCCTACCTCCTCTTTTTCTTCCATTAGCCACAAATGCTTCCTGACAAATTTAAATTCTAGATTGTGCATATTCACAGATTAGGACTGTCTAGTTTTAAGATGTTCCATCCTTCTATCCAACAGGAAACAAACAGTTAATAATGTTTTTCTTTTTTTATTGCTACATTAAAATGATACTCTGGTTTTGATATTGTAGATAATACAGCCAGTATCCTGACAAGACGAAGAAGATACAGTCGAACCAGTCAAGATGTCTATTACCTCCCGGTTTTGATTTCTGATGGTGGAGTGCCCCCTCTGAGCAGCAGCAGCACTCTCACAATTAGGGTTTGTGCATGTGAGAGAGATGGACGAGTGAGAACTTGCCATGCTGAAGCTTTCCTCTCCTCCGCTGGCTTGAGCACAGGAGCTTTAATTGCAATCCTGCTCTGTGTTGTCATTCTTCTCGGTAAGCCCTTTTCAATATCCAGTAATGTTATCCTCCCACTGGCCCTCTCAATGTGACAGGGCAGGAATTTTTTAATATCGTTTTTTTGAACCAGAGGCTGCCTGATAGGAGGAAGTAATTAGAAACACATAGCTGTGATTAGGGGGGAAAGGTTTAGCTAAAATTAATAGGGAAAAATGCCTTTAAAGTATAGTCATGAATATCTGGAATCTACTAGAAATTCTTTTTCAGAGGTTATCATGTAATTAGCACTGCAGAACTTTTTTCTGTAATTTGGAAAGATTTCAAAAAACCATGGACTCTTAATTCCACGTCTAGTACAGTGTGAAAACTGATAGAAAAGAGATGTGGAAAGCTTTTGAAACGTATCACACTGTAAGAAGCACTATTTGCACTGTATAAAAGCTGTTTCTTAATTACCTTTTTGGGATAAATTGATAGCAATGCAGAATATAATCCACAGGGGCAAAGGACATATGAGACTGTGAGATTACTCCATTAGATAAATACCATTGCAAGTGCATTTGCTCTTGGCTCTTTTATTTTTCCTGAAGGCCGGTTTGAATGTTACCCACAAGTTAATTTTGTTTGTTTGTGTGTTTGTTTTTCTGGCAGAGGCACAAATTGCTGTGTATATAACTCTGTACTACTCCTGTGTCTTTCTGCATTCCTACAGACATGGCAAGAAATAATGAGAATTGCAGTGTGACCCATATAGGGGATTTTTGAGGATTTTTTCCAAAGGCTTTACATTTTCTAAAGAGTATTTTCCTTACAGTTTACTTCAGAACTTCCTTGTCAGAAAGCTGTTTTAAAATGTGTAGTAATACATTTAGTTCATAATCTTATATTTTATCATACAAGATTGAATAATCATAAGAGGAAAAAATAAACCTTTTACATTTTAATTCAGTATTTTATGCCAAATACTGGTTTTAATGAAGCACTGAAAGCCCTTAACAATTCTTCTGTAAAATGTCAGACCTAGTTACTCATTTCTCATTATCCTGAAAGAATGTTATCCCCTTTTATGTCCTTTATGAGATCCCTAATTAACTAGCAGATTTCACTATTGGCTGAAGAAACTCCAGCAACCCCCACAAAAAGATGATGCAGTAGAACGCTCTTTACTGACCCTTTGGAAGACCAGGCTGTATTGGAAGCTTGTAGTTTCAGTACAGCATTATTAATTTTCCTCTTAATTGTGTAATCTCAGCCTGTTGTACCTTGGCATACTGCTTAGTCTAAATACAGATGTATGATTTTCATGGGTGCTTTCCAGGCTTGCAGTAATCTGTGACTTGGTATCTGCTGTTTCTTTAGCATATAGCTGCTTTCTTCAGATGTAAACTTTAAACCTACTCTAATATCTGCAGTCTTCTCTTTAGCAATTGTGGTCCTTTTCATCACCCTAAGACGCAGCAAGAAGGAGCCCTTGATCATTTCGGAAGAAGATGTCCGGGAAAATGTTGTGACATACGATGATGAGGGTGGTGGAGAAGAAGACACAGAAGCGTTTGACATCACAGCTTTACGAAATCCTTCCGCTGCTGAGGAGCTGAAATACCGGCGGGACATTCGCCCTGAAGTGAAGCCTGTGCCCAGGCATCACCCCTCCTCAAGCCTTGACAGTATAGATGTTCATGAATTCATTAAACAAAGACTGGCAGAGGCTGATCTGGACCCCAGCGTGCCCCCCTATGACTCCCTACAGACATATGCCTATGAGGGTCACAGATCAGAAGCTGGATCTATCAGCTCTCTGGATTCAGCCACAACACACTCTGACCAGGACTATAATTACCTTGGAGACTGGGGACCTGAGTTCAAGAAGCTAGCTGAACTCTACGGGGAAATAGAATCAGAAAGAACGACTTAGTTATCATTTCCAGAACAGAGAAGCTCCTAAACAACTGGAGACAGAAGGAAAGCAGCGGTGACAAAAAATGAAAACAGTACTTGGAACTGAGCAAGTTGTATGCAGTTACTGTAGAACAAGTGCCCTTTTCATATTTGAAACTGGGTTCTCCAATTGGAAGAAAGTAAAATTTTGAGAAATACAGAAAAAAGAAGCTATTGTCCCTTGTGTATATTTTTTAACTGCTCAATAAAGTCTGTGGTACCATATCTGTAACATTACCTAAGGTGAAGACAAACAATGACAATTTTATTGCAATATGCTTAGTATCTCCAAGCTACAGTAAGTTTATGGTCTTGCCTGTTTGGGAAGGTAGCTAATGGAGGAGCAAATCTCTTGCAGGTGGTTGTGATGTTGCATTTCTAGCTGTGCTTTAGGCCTTGTGATCCCAGTATGAGGTAGTCAGTGGGGTTTACGATCAGTCTGAGAAGTGCTAACAGTTTGTTTCCTTTACAGAAGGGATCAGCCACACCCTTCCTCTTAAGTAAACTGTCCTTTGATGATTTAATCTTATTGAATTAGCAGGTTGCATTAAGACGCTGTCATTTCATTATGTCCTTCACAACCTTCTCATCCATAACCAGCTAACAGAAGGAGGCACCATTAGCTGCTGGCTCATACATGGCTCTAGCCCATAACCCCAGACCTGCTCTGTTACTGCGTGCCAGAGGAACTGTTGTTTCTAGTGTTGTACTTTTTCTTTTTGTCTTCTCATGGGAACATCATTAATTTAAATTGAATGGGTCCAAACTACTCCTAATGCAGTGAAGCAGATGAAGCATGGGCTCTTTCAATAAAAACCGCCATGGCAGCACCATTGACCTATGCAGTTGTTGGTTCACTGTGCTTCACTTATGGCAATAGACAAAGTTTTTCAAGTCTTTTATTGGTCTGAGTACAGGAGCTACAAGAGTCAGTTTAAAACACAAGCTTCTTAGTCATAATATCTATTTCTCTGTGTGACTAAAAGCAAAACGGAGTTGCTGGTAAGACACTGGGATAGCAAACATTGAAACAATGTGAGTAAGAAGATGATGCTTTTTTCTTGTTAGCTCAATCTACTGATACAGAATTCCCATCTAGGATGAGCAAGCTTTTTTCTCCTTATTTCAAGCATCATGGGAACAAAAACATTTTAAGTCACTTGAGGAAGAAAAAAAAAAAAAAAAAGTACCATTATTGTGGCTCCCATGGATTAAATAAATTGATTTCTATGTTAGTTACTTTTTGGTGTTGCGTAACTGCTAAACAGTTCTGCTTAACATTGTAGGCTGCTTAACACCTAATTGAAGATTTGTTTTGTTTTGTTTTGTTTTGTTTTGTTTGTTTGTTTGTTTTTGTTTGTTTGTTTTTGTTTTTGTTTTTTCCTTTCTTTTGTTCGAAAAATTAACCTTCTGTTTAACTTTCTTGGGATAATACTGAGAGGACCAGGAGCTTATATTATCCCATGAAAGATTATGATATATAAGACTCACCATCTATTACGGTCTTCTGCTTTTAAGAAGACTGCAGCTCTACTTAGGGAAGTGGGCTTCTTGCAATATGCATTTGACAGGGAAACTGTCCAAAGCAGAAGCTGTGCAACTGTTTTTTAACAGTCTGTGATGGTGAGGAGAGTGATACAGATGTGTGCACTCCACTGGATTCCTCCCTGTGTATTTTAGGTGGCACTGCCCTTCATCCTAGTAAAGGAGGGTCTGTATTGTTGACCTGCTGTGGGTTGCACAGCTGAACCAGGTTTTTAAACCTTCCCTTCTTTCCTCTGTGGTTGAGTAGAACCTAGACATGACTGAAACTTTTGATCAGGTTTACTTTCAGGATTTTTTTTAATTTTATTTATTTTTTTTCATTAAATCCTTCCTGAGATGTAGTTGACTGCTTTTTGTTTAAACAGCCTTCTGGGAAAAATAGCAAGTAGTTTTTTAAGAAACATTTCAAACTTTAAAGAGTATTAGTTTTATTAATTCCAGGATTGGTTTTCGCTACACTGTTTTGTTTGCAACTTGAAAATTGGAAAGTTTCTCCTTCTGTCAATATCTGAAACCATAAGGCAATTTAGAGGGGAAAAAAATTCCCAAACTCTAAAATGCTCTGCTGATTATTTGAAAGTCGTTTCATAATATGTGTTCAATTTTTTGTTTTTATTTTTTTTTTTCCCCCAAACACAGAATCTTCTAGAAATGCACTTAAGGAGACATTCTCTTTGCAAAGTTAAACAGATGTTTAATAAGTTAAACAGATGTTTAATGCAGCAAGATGTTTGATGCAGCTGAGAATGGTTTATGCATTGTCTTTTTTGGGGGTGGAGTTAAGTTATATTTCAGTTTTGTCCTCAATGAAGCAACTGGTAGTGCAGGATTTTATGAAGAGGAAATTTTATTTAGATTTAAATTGCACTTGCTTTATGCCAACATCTAAATTTTTTTGTTGTGTGAGTGGAGTGCTAAGAAGAAAATCTTTCAGCAGTAGTAGTACCATGGGCTATAATACTTTGTACCACACCTGCATGGAATCTCTATTCATTGTTGTTTTATAATTTTGAGAGCCAGGTATTAGTTATCTTTATGTCTGTTCCCCCTGGCCCTACACTAAAGCAGGGAAAATCAATTGTGTTTTGTGCTTTAAGCAGTGTTCCCACTACTGTTTTCTTTTTGTTTGAATCATAGAATATTCAGACTTAGAGCCAACAGAAATACAGTGACATAAGCAAACAATCACTCCTTACACTCATTTTCTGATAAAGTTAGTAAAAGGAGGAGGTTGTATCTCAGAGAAATAAGAATTTCCCTTTTCACCATTCCCGC